GATGTTTACTATTTAACCTTGCCACGAATAAGACGCTTTGCTAATGAGCATTCCCTTTTTTGTATAATCCCTAAGTGTGTCGTTAATACAACCTAACAGTAAATTTATCATCAAAGTTAACATAAAGCAAAAGTATCAATAAACTATGTCCAAAACTATGGCTAAACCTATAGGATGTACGACTGAAAAATTTCCTGCTCTCAGTGTCTTGTCTCAGTGTTACTTGCATACTGACTACACAGTGGCGGTCCCAGGATTTCCGTCCGGGAGGGGAGCGCCAGAAATTTCTTTCGTGTTAAGGTGCGCGGCGTGCCACGCACTCCGAAAACTTTTATGGGATGCTTCCCAAACTCTTTGCGGGCCCATTACCCCAAAATATTAGGTTGTCCCAAAAGTAAAGTTTTCAAATAAATTGAACTGTTTTTGTTCTCATGAGAAATTTATTCTAACACTCGATAGAGCGGAGCAAGCTCTACAAAAGGACCGCCAAAGATCCACCAGTCGTAATCCAGGTAAAAGTTGAGGCGAAAAATCGAAAATTTTCAGCTTCCCTAAAAATCGGATTTCCTTCCAGAAAATATTCACTGACTTCCAACCTGGTCTTTATATAGTAGACACATAGTGGTACCTAAAAGTGGATTTGGAGACTTTTTTCGGGGCACAAATGAGAAAAAAAGATGGTCCGAAAATATCAAAAAGCCACTTTTTTTTGGGTTTTTTAGTGCAAATGGGATTTGTCGTTTATAAGAACACATACGGGGGTAAGATTTCAGAAATGTGTTCTACTAACTAACACGTATCCAATAAAAACAAGAGAAATAAGGAAAGAAGGAAAAATCACAGGAAATGAGCATGTTCTAGTTTTGCAGTTCGTTAGTTAGCGTGTAGAGTGTGCACTAGGCATATTAAGTTACAAATGACTCGACGATAGATTGTTTCGGATTTACTCCACTATGGCAATTCGCATCCCGAGTCTGCTGAAATATCCGCCATCGTTACAAAAGACTCCAGCTGTATAAGATATTACCTTTGTTACATAGTTCCAATAGAGCAACCAAAAGAATGAGCCATTTTAGATGATTTTCTTCGTGGCTTGATAGCTCTAGTTTTCAGTTTATTAGGTACTATCTGCCCGTTGACGTAACACGATGATAAACAAAACAAACAAACGGGCTTCAGGCTATTTGTCAAACAATCTGATTAATTTGAATGGGCAAAAGCGGTTGTTTCTCTGCCAAGTTTTTTCGTCTCTTTATATTTGTAAGGATCTCTGTTAAATCAGTTAATCTGGGTTCTCTGCTTGAGCTGTTGAGTAATCTTGATATCACATTTTCAGTCGATTCAGTCTTATTACCTTCCAACTTTGCTGCAGATGAATGAAAAACGGGAATTTGCAGAGAGCATGTTTAGGATTTTCTCTCCATATCGTCTCCAGTTTGAGTCAGTGACATCATCACATGGGCCGCTCTGGTTTACAGTTTGCCCAATCGAACCTTTTTGAGCGTATGTGATGATATGTGATTGCAATCAATCTGGTAACTTGTTCATTGAATGCAGATTTATTTTTTCTAACCATGACGTAGATTGGGTTAGCGAGTACGAATGTGCGCTGTGTTTGGTAGCGAAGTGGGAAAAATAAATATTTTTGAAAGCTGTCGACGAGATTTTGGTGACATAGAAACGAAAATAAAGCTTCGGCAGTATGAATCAGACAGACAAAGTGGAAACTGTATACAGGTTATTAAGGTTGATCTAGCAACCTCGATTTTTTTTATTCAAGCTGCGAACGGCCATTTATGTTTTTGTTTAGCAAAATTTCAACTTCAACCAACTTTGAATGAGGAGAATGCGTGAATTTTTCTCCGCTATAAAAATCAGATAGTTTGCGCATATTTATAGGTTCACCACCTAATCTGCATCATTTTCAAAAACGAATGCACCACATTCAAAAAGAGATGCCATGAAATCAGTTGGACCTGTTAGGCCCCGGGCAGACTTCACGCGATTTGATCGTCGCGACTGAATCGCGAGGAGACAACTGTTACAACATCATTCCATGCAGATCAACTTGCATTCGGTTGTGGTACTTTTCCAGACCGAAATTTTTGAATGTGAAATGAAAATGAATGGAAATCTTGGCGATTTGGTCGCGACGATTAAGTCGCGTGAAGTCTGACCGGGGCCTTAGGCGCCAACCACAACATCTGAGGGCACTTGTCACTAGCTTGACGAAAGACTATGGCCTCTCTTGGGAAAGTATAGGTCAGCGGTGAAATTTGTTGACCATGTAGATTCAAAAAATTTTCGCACTTGAGGAAAAATTGCTACATTTAGCAGAAAGATATTGGACACTATCAATTTCAGACTTCTTTTGTGGTTCACAATTCAAAACTTCTTTCTCTTATTTTTGAATTAGTCTAAAGTTCTTTGAGTTTTTTTTTTGAGATCTTAGCTGTCAGAGATTTGCCGTCAAACACTCGAACTTTAGATTAATTCAAAATTGAGAGAAAAAGTTTTGGAGTGTGAACCACAAAAACAAGTCTGAAATTGATAGTGTCCAATATCTTTCTGCTAAATGTACCAATTTTTCCTCAAGTGCGAAAATTTTTCCTACAGGGTCAACAAATTTCACCGCTGACCTATACTTTCCCAAGAGTGGCCATAGTCTTTCGTCAAGCTAGTGACAAGTGCCCTCAGATGTTGTGGATGGCGCCTAACAGTAGGTCCAACTGATTTCATAGCATCTCTTCTTGAATGTGGTGCATTCGTTTTTGAAAATGATGCATGTTAGGTGGTGAACCTACAAATATGCGCAAAGTACCTGATGTTTATAGCAGAGAAAATTCACGCGTTCTCCTAAAGTTGGTTGAAGTTAAAATTTTACTAAACAAAAACATAAATGAAGCCGTTCGCAGCTTGAATAAAAAAAATTGAGCTTAGATTGTTGATAGATCAACCTTTATAACCTGCATACAATTTCAACTTTACCTGTTTGGTTCATACTGCCGAAGCTTTGTTTTTGTTTCTAAAACACCGGAATCTCGTCGACAGCTTTCAAAAATATTTATTTTTCCCACTTCGCTACCAAACATTTAGCGCACATTCGTACTCGCTAACCCAGTCTACTTCAAGGTTAGATAAATAAATAAATCTGCATTCAATGAACAAGTTGCAAAACTAATTGTAAGACTCACATATCATTACATACGGTCAAGAAGCTTCGATTGAGCAAACTGCATACCAAAGCGTCCTATGTGATGATGTCACTGAGTCGAACTAGAGAAGGTATGGAGAGAAAATCCTAAACATGTTCTTTGCAAATTCCCGTTTTTCAGTCATCTGCAACAAAGTTGGAAGGTAATAGGACTGAATCGACTGAAGATGTGATATCAATAATACTCATTAGCTCAAGCAGAGAAGCCAAGTTAACTGATTGACAGAGATTCTTACAAATACAAAGAGACGAAAAAACTTGCAGAGAAACAATCGCTTTTGCTCATACAAATCAATCAGATTGTTTGACAAACTAGCCTGAAGCCGGTACGCTTGTATCGGTTACGTCAGCGGGCAGATAGTACCTAATAAACTGAAAACTAGAGCTATCAAGCCACCGAAGAAATCATCTAAAACGGCTCATTATTTTGGTTGCTCTGTCGGAACTACGTAACAAAGGTAATATCTTATACAGCTGGAGCCTTTTGTAACGATAGCGGATATTGCAGCAGACTCGGGATGCGAAGTGCCATAATAGAGAAAGCTGAAACAATCTAGTTACAGATTTCTGGTGTGGACAATCGCTGTTATGAGGTTCTTCTCTATGATGAGGTTTATCTCGCTGTCGTATGCCACTTGTACGAGTTTTCTCTATCGCTGTCCAAAGATAAATAAAAGAGGATTAGTAAGTGGAAACACAATATCAAAACATTTAACTTCGCCTTGAAGTCGATACTAGAACAAAGAGTACTAAGGTAGCTGGGCAAACAGTCAAGGGAATGCAAGTATCATGATTATTCCAAATCAGCGCTCAAATTGTTCGGATGTTAGCTTTGCAAGGTTGGTGGAAGAGCTAAGAATGGGAATGACTTTGCGATGACAAACTCAGCATCGATTCTCTCCCTTTTATTTTGTACCATTTAATGTATATCAGGTTCATAAACATGTCACTCAGTTTTCCATCAAAAGACAAACTCAGCAATTAGCAACTACATAAAGCTAATGGTAAACCAAAGCGCTTTGTTCGATGTTTTTGAAGGCTCGCATAACATTGAACTGAACCTCTGAGTTGATGACTTACATATCGGGTGACCGTCTCCCGTATACTAGTCGCACCCACCGCCGCACGTATTATTATTATCGTATTACAAAGACTCTTCTAGCACGTCAGCTGTCACAATTGTTTTTTTTTTGCCGTTGCCACGAATTCGTACAATAAATTCGAATACGTGTCTCTCAGTGTATAGTAATAAATGAAAAGTGAATTTCGAAAAAACTACATGCTTTGTAGTACGATGATAATTCTCTACCAAGAAGTCAAAAGCCATGCATCCATCTTTTAGAATTCATGAGATGTTCGCCAGTCTTCCCGAGATAGACTCAAATTTATATGTGGAATTTGTTTATTTTCACTGTTTTGCGCACAAATTAATGTTGTGCTGAACAGCTTACGCATCCTCATCATTTAATTTCCTGAACGGCTGTCTTTATGGAAACTAGTCGATAAAAGATTTGGGAAATTCTGACTGAAGCACTGTATAGATGAGGCCCCAGAGAATCAGTCCGTTTGGACAACCAATATATTGACTGAAAAAACATGAATATCGACGACAAAGTTTGCCAGCACAGTATCAAAAAGTAATGCACGGTAAAAACTAGATCACTGAAAACGCCCCTAATCCATACACATTGTGTACGGCAATTTATGTAAGACAGAGGGCATAAAATCAAACAGCATTGGCTACAGATCAGATCAGCTGCAGTTTATAAGGAAGCACACGTTGCCCATGCCAGACAGACATGCAACAGCTTCTGTGCACAGCACTATTGCTGGTATTATTTTTGAATTTGTTAAAATCGTCAGAGTTCGCGATATCCATATTTACCACTTTAAGGCAGCCATTGCTCCATTCGCTTTGGCAAAACAGTGCACCTACGCAGATCAGAGCGCCGGCTTGGCTGAAGATAATCAAACCGCAGTGCTAAAGGCCGTAAACGATGCTCGTCAAAAGTTAGCCAATGGAATCCAGACGAATGGAAAAATAGATGCTGATACTGATGGACCCCCTCTGCCACCAGGACAGATCGATGCCTTAGTCAGTTTGATGATTTTGCAGCTTCGCTCGTGAAAATGCACAGCTTTCCTTTTGACCGAAAAGTTTACACTTCGGTTCCAGCAATTCATAAAATTTGAGTTCAGAGCAACTTTGAGTTTTATATCTGCACTAGTCGGCGTCCCTGATCCAGCCCGGACCGGGTTCTGAAACCGCAAGCCAGTAGTTTGTTACTCGCCTGTTAATAGCCTACCCTATCTTCTTTCTTGTGTGCAGCTCCTTCCTGTTACATGCTCTTGCTCCAAACCCTGCAACAGCGTTCCCGTGAATCTCTTCTTGCTTCCTCGCTGCGTAACACCGCATTCTCCTTTCTGCGAAATGTAAATGAAACTTAACAACCGCCCTCGTTTACATGACTATAGGAAGTGGTTGGTCAAGGCATGCTAATGCTAAGCTTTCATTTCTATACGTAAGTAAACAAGTCGATAAATCGATGGAAGGGCCCAGCGAATCGTCGCGAAAAGTAGCCTATATTGGGTCTCATTTATAGGGGAACGAAATTCAGCCTCTTCGGTTCACAAACAAGAAAGTCTTTAGGCCACAAAGATTCTAACAAACAAAGTTACAGTGTTTGTGTTATATATATATATATATATATATATATATATATCAGTGGCGGACCGGGGGCCCCCCCCCGCCCGAGAATGGGTCGCGAAATTTCTGAAAGTTACTTACATGAGTCATAAAAATGTGCGAGAGACTCATTTATATTTGTAAGTAATGAAAACAATTTTTTAAATTTTCTAGAAATTCAATTTAGCCTTATAAAACAATTTTTTTCGGGGCATGGCTGACACCACGCCTCCTTTTTCTAGAATTTTGAGTTGTGAGCCCGCGAAAATTTTGAGAAGCGTACCAAAAATTTTTTCTAGGCGCGTGGCTAACGCCACTGCCGCGACACCCCCTCCCCCCCCCCCGAGCCGAAATCCTGGATGCGCCACTGCTATATGAATATGTATATATATATATATTAGGTGGGTCACAAAGTTCGTTCGCCAGATTTTCAAAAAATCATAACTTCCTTCCTTTTCGGTGGAATTCCAAAATTTATTCCTGTTTGAAAGAGGAAGCCTTTCTTTTTACAACAGTACCTTTGGCATGAAATAGCGTGAGAAAGTTCGAGAGTTACAAGCAGTTGAATGAAATCATTCAAGATCGGTACTTTTCAAGCAGGGTCACGAAAAAATCTGGAAGTATTTTTATTTGATAGAGTAAATTTTGCTCATTACAGTGGTAGCTTTTTCATGAATCAAAACGAAGTAGATCGAGAGTTAGAAGCAAATAAAGGAAATTACTTCAGTTTTGCAGTATTTGAGCATGCTCAAAAAAGCCTAAAAACATCACAGGAAGGGCGGAAAAGTCATAAACATGGGTTTTGTAACCTTCTTTTTCTAGCTGAGCGAGTTTCGAGCTGATCGAGAGCGATTTTGATTTTCGTAATTTTTCGGATTTTCGGGTGTGCGTTTTTCACGAAAAACAAAATTGCTCGCGATTAGCACGAAACTCACTCAGCTAGAAAGAGAAGATTACAAAACCCATGTTTATGACTTTTCCGCCCTTTCTGTGATGTTTTTAGGCTTTTTTGAGCATGCTCAAAAATTGCAAAACTGAAGTAATTTCCTTTATTTGCTTCTAACTCTCGATCTTTTTCGTTTTAATTCATGTGAAAGGCATTATTGTAAAGAACATAATTTTCTCTATCATACAAAAATACTTCCAGAATTTTTCGAGACCCTGCTTGAAAAATGCCAACCTTAAGTACTTTCCTTCAGTTGCTTTTAACTTTCGAACTTTCTCATGCCAATTCATGGCAAAGGCACTGCTGTAAAGAGAAAGGTTTTCTTTTCTAAACGAGTATAAGATCAAAGAGATTCATTGAGTTGGAAGGAAGTTACGATTTTTTGAAAAACTGGCGAACGAACTTTTGCACCCACCCAATATATATATATCATGACAGCGCAAAAGCACAATTTTACCCATTACTGCGTGGCACATGACAAGTCATGACAAATTTTGAAATTCTTGGATTCTTATAAGTTTATCAGAATAGAAGACTTGTGCACGTTGACTGATCTTACTTTTGACAAAAGCTTTAACCTTTAATACAGTGAATATGTCAAGTAAATCGGTGTGGCTACCAGCGTTTTCGTTCATGTTTGTATGCATTTATCCCTGACTATCAGTTCAGGGCTTAAGCGAGATGCTGGGATCATGCAGACTAGAATTCAATTAGGTGGTATGAAAAGTTCTTGTTATGCAGTTTAGTACATCATCAGTTTACCTGGAAAGT